CTCCATCATGGACTTGGTCGTGTCTGTTTCTTCCTGTACCTAGAAATACCTTGGCACCTGGTGGGATTCCGACGACTCCTCCCCTTTGTTATCTTAATTTGGTTTGGGTGTCGGTTTCTATAATTGTTATGCCGCGAGTTCCTTCCCTTTACTGCTGGAGACCGAGATCGTGTTCATCTCTCTTGCCGTTGGCTGACCTCTTATTTGTTTAATTCCCTCTGGAGTTGGGAATTTTAGAAGCTGGTGATATGTTGATGGTACGACCTTCATCTCGTGTAGCCATGGTCTGCCAAGAATTATGTTGTAGCCCATGTTGCCGTCTACTACCTCAAACAAGGTAGTCTTCATGACCCCTTCAATTTTTGTGGGCAGCAATTTCTCCCCTCGGGTTTTCACACTCGCTAAGTTGAACCCAACAAGAAGTTTTGTTGCCGGAATAATGCTTCTGGTTAACTTGGCTTGTTCTAACACTCTCCATTGAATGATGTTGGCCGAACTTCCTGGGTCCACCAAAACATGTTTAATTTTAAAATCTAGAACATTAAGAGAAATTACTAAGGCATCGTTGTGTGGAAATAGAAGTCAATCAACGTCCTCTTCTGTGAAGGTGATGTCGTCCTCGGTGACTTCCCGAAGCCTCTTGCTATGAGTCACCGACACCTTTGTCTTTTTTGCCACCGAAAAGGTTACACTGTTAATCTCATTCCCCCAAAAAATCATGTTGATGGTTTGCTGGGGAAGGTCTTCACGTATCTTCGAGGGCTCTGCGTTGTCTCGGCCGAGGCCATAATTGTTCTTGGCCCGGTCTCTTAAGAATTCCCTTAAATGTCAGCTCTTTAACCATGTCACCACCTCATCGCGTAGATGTTGGTAGTCCCCAGTCTGGTGGTCGTTAGTCCCATGATACTCGCACCATATATTAGGATCCCTCATAGGATCAGATCTCATCGGCCTCGGGAACCGTACTTCTTTGATGTTCCTCATTACCGATACCAGCTCCACTACGCTGATATTGAAATTATACTTTGACAGCCTAGGATAGGTGGAACCCTTGGAGGTTGATACCTCTTTATCTCGCGATGACCTACTATTCCGGACGCAGTCATCTCTTCTATCAGGCACGAACCTATCCGCCGATTGGAACCCTCTGACGCATCCTTCGACCCTTTTTGCAGGGCAAAAACCGGCTCTTAGAAGATCGCAGATGTTACAACCCATATTTTCGTATGTAAAAGTATGTCGTAAGTCAATTGATGTAAGCTCGAAAATGACATGCACTTTGAAAGTATATAAAGTAAGTTAATCATGTTACCTTGGAGGTTACAAATATTTAAGATCATGAACATCAAGTACCAAGAGGGTTGGAAGGTTTAGAAGTTAAACGAATCGAAGAAATAAGTTTCGTTGAAAGTCGACAAGTTGGGAATGTTATAACCGGTACTTTTGGGATAAGACTAGGGTTCTTAACATGATAAGAATATGATGTTATGAGGTAATTTGGTCGTATGATAGGCGTGTGTTATGTTTTGAGGTCAAGCGAGTTGTGAAACGAAAGTCGACGAAAGTCGTCGAAAGTTATATTCATAAATAAGCTGAACATTAGGCCAAATGTTGAAGAGCTTTTCTACCAATATACATGGAATTACAGAATGATCCACCTACCAAATTGAATATCTACGAGTATAGTTTTTAACGCATTAAACTGCTCATTAATACGATGTCGGAGTAGAGAGATACTTGCATTTTTGCAAGACCGCATAGACTGGTAGGTGACAAGTAGGTTTGTCACCTACTTGTTTAAATGAAGGGACCAAATAAATCCTTAAAAAGGGGTGGCCAAGGGGACTTTTAAGGGCTGAATTAAACCATTTCTTTCACTCATATTTTATACTAAGAACTTCATATTGAAACCCTGCAACTCCTCCCCTAAAATTCCCACACAAACCCTAGGTCATTTCAAGTGATATGAAGTGATTCTAGTGCTGAAAACCCGGAGAGCTTTCTAGTTTTCCTTTCTCCTTCTTGTAACTGTGTTGGGGGACTAATTTCGGATGAAGATGAGCTAGGTTTCGTGGGTTCTACTCAGTCCAAGGTTAAGTTATCTTGAGGATTGGACTAGATATTATGAGGTATACAGTGAAGCCCTATGGATGGTCTATGAATACATAGGTGCATAATGAAGGTTGGTTATGGACAGTCTCAGTTGCACGCATAGCCAGACCTCAATATTATGAGTTGTACGGATGGTCTACTATGTTATGCGTATGAGCCACTGGTTATTCATGTTTATGAGTGAGCCTTACGGACGGTCTCTTATGAAACGCGTAAGTGCCACTTTTATGTTTCAATGTAGCTCTAGAGATGTTTGATCTGTCTGAGGTAAGTATTCCAATATAAGGTATGATGGCTAGAATAATGTTATAGATGAAGTTCCATAATATGATGGTTTCCAGTACATATAGCATATGGGAACAAGTTCAGGTATATCATGAGACGAATTAGATGTATATACGACATTAGATGTTCTCGGCCAACGAAGCCTTCCCTTTTCAGTCTACATCCTTTGTAAGGTAAGTTGGATAATTCAATTGTAGATATGTTACAACTCAGAATAAGGTAAGTATGATTCCCAGATCTCATTGACCCTCCAGATTTATTTTAGTATATTATATATACATGTCAGTTCAGTTTCAATTAAGTTATTCATATGTTATCTGCCTTACATACTTAGTACATTTTTTTTGTACTAATGTCCCATCGTGGGGGCACTGCATTCATGCTTGCAGGTTCGGGTATCCAGTTTTACGAGCTCTTATCATAGACGGAGTTGATATCCAGTTGAGCAATGGCAAAGTTCCATTTCATCCAAAGTTCCCCCTGGTCTAGAGGTTATCAGACTGTCCTATGTATATATACACTTATGGGTAGGTTAGTGTCATGTCCTGACCATATTTTGATGTCAGATACCCTTAGAGGCTTTGTAGACACATGTTCAGTATGTATAGCATGTTAGAGTCTTTGACGGTCTATGTGTATTCATGTTTTGAGTAGGCTCGCTGATACAACATTTGCCCACTTACAGTTACACAGTGCGAGTTGGGGCTATGTTGTCCCGTGATAGTTACAGAAAGAATCAATTCAGCCAAGTCAGACTAGGTATGTTCAAGTTTTCGTTGAATGATCATGACTGGCAGAGTGGTTCGCTCGGGCCAGTACGGTACCGAGTGCCAGCCATGCCTCCCCATGTTTTGGGGCGTGAAAGCAGATCTGCATCAAAATTATCCTTCGATTTATCCCTTTTCTTTTCTCAATCCCGGCCCTCATTTGATGCCGAGAACGCGAGATGATCATCTTCTATTCTTATCTTTGACTCGTAACGGTTATGGACATCCACCCATGTCATTTCCTGGAACTCGAGCATGCTTTCTTTCAGCTTCGGGAGGTGTCGTAGCTCCTCGGGTTTAGCCCCTTAGTAAATACCTTAGCTGCCCATTCATCTGGCACGACCAGTAGCAGCATCCTTTCTTTCTGAAACCTAGTCACGAACTCACGCAGCAATTCAGACTTTCCTTGCGCAATTCAAAATATGTCCGCCTTTCGGGCTTGTACCTTCCTAACCCCGACATGGGCCTTGATGTAAGAGTCTGCGAGCATCCCAAAGGAATCTATTAAGTGTTCGGGTAAGAGTGAGTACCACGTTAGGGGCCCCTTCGTGAGGGTTTCTCCAAACTTCTTCAGCAGGACCGACTCAATCTCGTGTGATGCCAAGTCATTTCCTTTCACCCCCGTTGTGTAGGTGGTGATGTGCTCCTGAGGGTCCGAAGTTCCATCATGTTTTGGTACATCTGGAATTTTGAACCACTTTGGAATTAACTCTGGTGTCGCGCTTGGTTTGAACGGAAACTGGTGTATTTCTTTGAGTCTGGTCCCTTCAACACTGGCGGTGCACCAGGAATTTGGTTCATTGGGTCGTTTATTTTCCTCATAATCCGCATGAGTTCGGTTTTGAAGGGATCATTACTGTTGTTGTTACCAGATCCGTTGTCGGTACCCCCGGCCTCGTCGAAGTCGACCTCACCCCTCGGGGTGTTGTTGTCAAGCCTTTGCGATATTTGATTCGTGGGCGCACCGGGAGGAACTGGGTCTCTTCCATTCGCGTTGCTGGAAGCACCCGACAACGCTTGCCTTAATTTTGTCATGGCCTGGTCTTGCCGTGAGAGATGGCCCATGATGGCCTTTTGTTGTTCTCTCAAGATCCTCACTGTTTTCGCAACGTGCTCGTCCTCAGCATCATCAGGAGTCGGCTCCCGTACGTGTCGTGGATATCGCCCGCCATGAACTGGCGTTGCTACGTGCTCCTCGTTGTAGGTATCACTGATCGAATCCTCATGTTGAGACAAGTTTTTTTGTGCCTCAACGTTGTGTGTGATGTTGACGTCGTTAGCTGTCATTTTTTACGATTTTTGCTAAGAAACAAAAAAATAAACAAATTAGTAATAGATGCAAGGATCAATCCAATTATGCAACTGTCTAAGCCCCATGATGGGCGCCAAACTATTTACCCGCAAAACGGTACAGTTGAATTTATAGCGTGGTTTATAAACAAGCGAATTGATTTGATCCCAAAATAATAAATAAATTAAATTAAATGCAAGACTTTGCGTTAAAATTGAGATAAAATAACAGAAAACTTGTTAGATTTGTTGTTGTTTTAACAAATTGATGACTGGGTTTTTGCTTTTGTGAACATCTATTATACACCATCAATTATGGCAAGTTGGTCCGACTCCATTCTCATTGTTTTTCCTTCCCTACCAACTTGATTCTACCAATGCAAGAAAACGAGACTGGTGGTAGAATCAAACATCCCAATTTTATACCGTCCACCTGATTTCCTTCTGTTTGGACATAAATAAAATCTAAATTCTGTGTATCATAAATGAACTTTCATCCAAAAATTTGAATTGCATCTGCTTTCTGCAGGTAATAACAAAACCAAATACACGCAAAACTAAATGGTCATCCAATAACTTGAAATGTCTAACCAAACATATCGTAAAACCAGAATACTACAACTCTTTTTCCCTACAAGAAAGGCCAACTAAGGAAAAGCTGAATGAAGCGAAGGTAGAGGGAGGGGAAACCTATATAAATTTAATTAATACATAGCAAGAAAGCTTAATGAAATCTGATACATTTTCTTCGCTATACCAAAATTTTGAATGCAACCGGACAAAATCTTGTATTGTCAGCTGTCAAAAGAATTGTGTCAGCACTCCTTACCATCTGCGACCAAAGTTCCCATTACCTCTTCCCCCTCTTCCTCCAGAAAAGCCACCTCCGCCTCTTCTGTTAGAGAAGCCACCGCGACCACCACCTCCAAATCTTCCACCTCTTGGCTTCTCTCTCTCTTGCAACTGAGGCAAGGCTTCCACTACCTCCAAATTTACACCATGTGCAGTTTTTTGGCCTGCAAAACCCATCAACCCCGCAGGAAAAGAGAAAGCAAAGAAGAAGAGGTTAGAAAAGCTACAACAGCTATGGTCCCCTATTAATCAAAGGAGGGGTGAAGTACACAAATAGCCCTCAAAGTGGATGGTCTCGAATTTTTGTCCCCGCTTACCCCATGAACAAAACTTCAAGTTTAACAAGTGTTGCCCTCGCTTGCCCCATAGGCAACACTTATAACTTTCAACCTTGAAGCTCTGCCCATGGGGGAAAGCTTGGGTCAAAAGTTAAAGACCACTCCAAAAAGAAAAATGTCTAATGACTGAAATTAACTTAGAATAATTCTGTATTACAATAGTTGGGTGATTATATATGTCCATGGGTAGGGGCCCAGCTACAGGAAAATGGAGAAATATACCTGCAAGAAAGTCGTCCAAGTCCTCAGCAGATACATCAAAAACTGCCCCCTTTCCATCGGCCGTCAAAGTAAGACCATTGATTGATTCAACCTTCTCCTCAGGCAGGAACCTCCTCAAGACACTATAGACAAAGCTACCAATGATTTGACAGTAAAAAAGATTAGAATCATTGGACTGAATATGAGACCAGCTAACAAGCTCTGCTCTAGCAACCAGCTTCATCATGTCTCGTGAAAAAAGAAACAAATGCAGGTCATAAGCTAAATCCTTTAACAAACTTAGGTTTCATGTTAAATTAAGAGCACTGCTTAGCACAACGAAATCTCTCATGCAAGATGCAGTAAACATGTGATGTAATTCACTACTTCCAATTGCGGACAATGAGAAACTTTCTCATTCATGAACCCATTTAGTGGACAATTAGAAATTCCGTTATCAACATTCATTTTCATATAAATGGGTAGAAACACTGATGTGGAAGTATGAACATTCACGGTTCCCCTGCCAACATCCTTGTTTGCGGTTAAAAAGATGTGATTTAAGTTTTCTTGTGCATATGCATAAGACTAAAAATGATAGTCACACTCAGCAACAAGATCACAAAATCTGAGGCATTGAAGTGCATAAAAAATAGATAATTACGAAAATATGACATTCAAAGCCTGCCTACAAAATAGTTGTAAGTCGAGAAACAATATATTTTAAACTTTGAATACTTACGAAGGTGAGAATATGGGCCTCCCACACTCAAGAAGCAGAGTAACACAGTTCTCCATAGAAGTAAGAAGCGACCGAGTCTTGATCTCAGAATAGCCCTGTAAAAGCAAGTCACAAGTTAGTCTAAGATCAGGTTTGCCTCCAGAAAGAATAAATAAAGACAACAGAAACATACAGCAGCCTTGGCAAGAGCTTTCGCAAGCAACTCTGCTGGTGATAGGTCAGAGGTATTCAGAAGCTCCTCCGCAGCAGCCTTAAATGCGGGTATGACACTACAGAGAGTTGGAAAAATAAATAAATGAAATGATACATTTAAAATTCACCAGGCACAAACGAAAAAACATACCTATCGGAGATTTCAGCAATTATATCAGCAGCTTCTTTCCCAGCTGCTTTAGCAACATCAGCTGGCTGTGGAGCAGATAAATGCTCAAACTTCACACCAGATTCTCTTTCAATTCTAGAGATGTTGGACTTCCTTGGATCATACAGAAGTACAGCAACACCAGTATTTCCTGGAATGTGACAGAAAAAATAAAGCTAGTACGTATGCTCCCCTAATTTATGTAAGCTAAAAAAACAATTCGCAACATCAGAAGCTCACCTGCCCGTCCTGTCCTTCCAGATCGATGAATATATGCTTCAACATCACTAGTGGCTTCACACTGAACAGAAATATCACATTCAGCATTCAAATACCAATAAAGTTTAAGAATCAAGTATGGAACATGAATGCAGTAACAAACCTGGATGATTAACTGAACATTGTCAATATCCAATCCACGGGCTGCCACATTTGTGGCCACTAATGTCATGAATTTTCCTGATCTGAATCCTTTAAGTGTAACCTGAGAACAAAATACAAAAATGAGTCTGGAAGGTTGTCAAAGGAGACACTCACACCATAATTATCAATGAGTCTGAAAGGTTGGTGACAAATACTGTGTATTTCATATATTCGTATAATCAACATTGTAAGGTGNATTATAGTGCGGCCTCCACTAAGTTTTCATGGAACAAAAGATTTATAATCATTTCAGAGGTTCAATATCATGCTTTAAATGGAAGATACGGGAAAATGAGATGCGACCTACCTGCTGTAGCACCGAATGATATCGGGAATCAGCTGAGATCTTGCAGAACTAGAGCATGGAATAATAATATGCCTCACATTTTTACTGGCCTTCATTTTCTCATTACCAACAAGGTCAACCGTTTTCTTATCAGGTTTCAGAAACTTAGAAGCAATCTAACACCAAAAACATGTTTCAGTAAGAGAAGATTATTAGAGAGAGTGAGAAGTGTAAGCTCAGAGCACAGCAGTTGTACATGCCACCACCCCTCTAATCCCCAATTTCAAGGTGGTCTGTTTACCAGGGCTTGGGACAGAGAACAATTTAACTGATATATAAATGAAAGGGCATGAAATATTCCCCAGTAATGGATACTGTACTATGATTTCAAAAACAAAAGATATAATGAACGTACATGCTTCACCCAGTCTGGCAAAGTGGCACTGAAAAGAATTGTTTGAACTTGGCTTGCATCTTCGACCTTGCCTTTGGATAAGGAACAAAACATACAGAAAAGCATAACAGTGTCAATAACCAAATAGAAAATTCCTCAACAGAACAGTAATGCACTGGCAAATTTCAGCTGTCAAAGAATTTCATCCTAACATGGGTAACAAGCATGATACAGATATGGAGAAGTGGAACCAGATAGCAATAAACTGCTGCTCATAGCATACCTAAAATAAGTTCGACATCATCTACAAAACCAATTTTTAACATTTCATCGACTTCATCAAGAACACGGAACTTTAAAGACCTGAAATCAAGATTTCCCCTTTCAATGTGGTCCTGCAGCAAATATTTGAAGGAGTTAATTTTCACTCCACAATAGTGGATGAAATTCAACCTGTAAACCAGCAAACACTACCTTAATTCTTCCAGGAGTACCCACTACAATATCAACTCCTCTTTTTAGTTGAACCTGTTGTGCTCCCATGGGAGAATTTCCATACAAACAGCATGAAGCGAGCCCCATAGCCCGGCCATAAACTTCAAAGTCCGCAAACACCTACAATTAACAGATTAATGCGATGCTATTTGTGAGAAAATGAGACCCCAATTTGTTTATACTCAACGAAGCAACCACCTAGAGAAGGCTGATAATATATACCTGAAGTGCCAATTCCCTAGTAGGTAAAAGCACCAGGACACTTGGAGCCTTCCCATATCCTGTTTTTCGCAATGCTTTAGTAGGACCATTTGTTAGGGACTCCAATATGGGCAAAACAAATGCCAGTGTTTTACCCTGCAAATATAGAAAAAGTCAAGTCATTTTCTGCTTTACAATCTTGCTAACCAAAATAGTCAAAAGCACTATCATAAAATTTCTAGCAGCTGTGAAAGCAATAGGAAAATCAATTTACCATTAACGTTCATAACATGCGGACTAAAGTTCACTCTTTCCATTTAGCTTAAATTCTTGATGAACGAATAATTTGTAATAGGAAACAGGCAACTCACAATTGACACACAAACTTCTCATCAAAAGGGTATCATGTGCATAAACAATAAACACAATCCAAAAATAAACTTCCCTCAAGGGAAACCCATACATCTCTAGCGACAGATAGACCAAAGAACCTTTATAGTGGACTCTATGCCTCTTCCTAGTAGACATTACAGTAAGAAATATGGTATCTGTTGGTAGGAAATAAAAGTGCGAAATAAAACCATACAAAACATGGCAAGTGATGTTGATAAGTCTCTAACCAAGCTCAGTAACCATTTTAGTCCTTATATTATAGGATGAAAATAACAGGAAAAACCAGCTACGCCTAGGTATATATATTTCGTGGATAACACAAGAATGAAAGCCACAAAAACAACCAGCAACCCCAGGGCCAGAGATAGTGCTGGATAGTTATAAAATCCCAGTTTCTCATGAATTTATAAACATTGGTTATGTTCTAAATTAATTATGCCTAATAACGCAAACTAAACCGACAATTACAATAACAACAACAACCACCAACTAAACCAGCAAATAACAACACCTTAAATATTCACAGGGCAAGTAAATATGCATGAATTGATACAATAAAGAGCTGAATTTATACCTGACCAGTACGAGCTCGTCCAACCAAATCCGACCCATCAAGAATATCATCAAAAGTCATAGCTTGAATAGGGAAAAGTGCTTCTATTCCTTTAGCATTCAAACCCTCTCTTAAAGGCTTTGAAATCCTAAAATTAGACAACACATTAGGATCCTCCACTTTCTTCTCAACAACCAATTCTTCCTCCTCCAATTTAGCCTTCTTATTCCTCTTCCTATTTTTCTCATCTATCGGCTCGCATATCTCGGAGCTCGTTTCACTCTTCTGCTCTTCCTCATCATCAAAGTCCAAAGCTTTTCGCTTTTTCTCTTTCTTTTTGCTCTTCTTCAGCTCCTCTGAATCAGACCCAGAATCAATCTTGGTCTTTTTCGATTTTTTTTCTTTGCTTTTCTTATCAGTAGGAGTTTCTAAATCATGGGTGTCGGCGGGAGTTTTGGGGGTCTTCTTCATTTTCTTCTGGGATACTTCGGAGACCATTGTTTCAGTTACAGCAAGTGCAGGCATGATAGATAATGGGTTGGTGACTTTGTTTGTATGGGTGTGAAGGGGGATGCTCTCCTGCTGAAAACGCTTGTGGCAGTTAAGTGCAGAAGCAGGAGAGGAAAGAGGAGGAGGAAAGGTTTAGGGTTTGAGGTTTTATAGGAGTGGAAGGGTTGAGGGCCGTTGGATGGATGTACGTGAGATTGAATGCTTACCGTCCGATTTAATGGACTTACTCGGGGATAATTTTCGAGCGGAAGATATTTTTTCTTTCTTGATCAAAGTGTTGGAACAAAAATTTCAACCTATGTTCATTTTGGATCCGCGGTTTAGTAAATGATGACACCTCGTTAATATTTTTGCATTGTACAGCCTATCTAATTATCTTTCACTTGTGGCCGACATAAATCCGAAAAATCGAATTCCGAACCGAATTAAATTAATTTAATATTTCGATTTTAATTTTTTTGGTATTTTGATTTTTTTTGGTACAAAAATTACGGTATTTCGGGAGTTCGATACGTTATACGATATTGGATTTTTGATATTTCGGTATTACCGAAATATTTTAGTCCAAGCCCAACTTTATTTTTATTTTTTAGCCCAATAACCTTAAGCCACACCCTAAAAGTCCAAAACCCCTAATTCCCTAATTCCCTAATCCGGCTTAGAGGCAGACAAGAAAAGGAAAAGCTACGCTACGGGCAATATCAAAAAAAAACCATTTCCCAGTTTCCCTTTCTATTTTCTAACCTAGGTCAAAATTTTCAACTTTGCTAGTTTGCTTAGTTGTTGCGGATTCACGAGTTACGACTCACGACTACAATAGCTTCACGACCTCGACGATGGCGACTCCTCTCCTCAGCGATTGCTTGTTTGCTCATTGTTGACCTTCATTCAAGTTCATAACTTCTCCATTCTTCATTGTTGATCTTCATTCATGCGAGCTATAATCACATTTCTGAGTTAAGTTGCTTTTTAACTGAGCCGTTTGTTTCAATTTCTTTGTTCTTGTTACTTACAACCTTGGTATGTATTGATACATGTCATTGATTAAACTGGAATTGGCAATCAAATTAGAATTTTTCTGATTAGGATGTTAAACTGTTTAGAAATTTTCATTGTGAAGGAGAAAAATCATTCATTGTCACTATGTTTCTATCTTCTTGTTTGACATTTGCTTTCAAGTATGTCAATGATAATGCCAAGTTTATGTTTTATGACGTTTTCCCTTCTCCTTTAAAGCTTACTGAATGAGTTGTCACTATAAAAGGAATGCCATAAATTCAATTTGATCATTTACTCCAAATAGTTTTTTCTTATGGTGTGTGATCTGCCCTTGTACTAGGCTGTTCTCTGCTCATTACACGACCATTCGCCTTTATAGTATTTTGCTTGTAGTGTTCTATTTAGTGTTTTGGTTTTAACAATTTGTGTTTATATTTGTTTTAATTTTGTATAGATGGCGGATGAAAGTAGAGTAAGTGATGTTGGTTCAACTGAAAGCTTACCTATTACTCATGATAACAACGCCAACACAATTGATACTCAAGATTCTAAGAAAAGAAAAGTCATAGAACCTAGATCCGAAGTTTGAAAATATTTTGATAAATTTCAGGAAAATAAGATCGGTAAAGCAAGGTGTAAATATTGTAAGCAAGCTTATGCTGCTAATTCATCTAAAAATGAAACAACAAGATTGAGAAACCATTTGAATAGATGTAAAGAATACCCAGACAAAGGATAAACTTTCAATCTTGCCAAAAATAATGGAGGATCGCTTTGGAAATTCGATCAAGAAGTGATTAGGAGGGCTTTAATTGAGATGATAGTTATTGATGAACTACCATTTAACTTTGTAGAAAAGGAAGGCTTTATGATGTTTATGAGAATAACTCAACCACTATTTCATCTTCCTTCTCGTAGAACAATAACAAGGGATTGTTATGAAGTTTATGGTGAATTGAAGCAAAATCTAAGAATATATTACACTTGTTTATGTTGTATGACATATTTGGTCGAATTATCTTTAGATATGAAAAATAATGGAAGCACTACTAGCATTGTTGATATATAGTTATAACTTGATTGGTAAGTTAAATACTCTATTTGTTTGGTGATAATGATATACTTTTGTAGTTTTGTTCTTTTATCATCAAAAAATTATATTATAACTTATGATTTTATTTTATGTTTTGTTAGGTTCAAGTTCAATCATGCCCCATGCTACTAAAGTGCGCTCACATGTTTGGGAACACTTTGAGGTGGTAGAAGGTAACGAAGAAGTTTACAAAGTAGAGTGCAAGCACTGTGGTCGAGTCTTCAATGTTCATCCAAAGAGGGATGACACATATGGTTTAAGGAAGCATGTCATGTCTTGTCTTGAGCGTCTTCCAAAAGTTCTTATTTAAGTTAGAATTCAGTGAATTGAGACAATCTATGTTATTTTGCTTTTATTAGACTGCCTTGTTGTTGTTGCCTTGTGGTATTTTACACTGTTGCACTGTAACAGTCTAACAGAGGAGTCGACTTGGAGTCTTGGACTATGTTTAGACTTAAGTGTTCTGTTTTTTTGTAAGGTAAAACTAATTGGGTTAATTGGTTAAGTGTTCTGTTTTCTGTTCTTAATTGATTTTATTTTAGTACCAAGTATTCTATTTGTTTTTAATTGATCTTGTTCATTAAATTATTTATTTAAGTGGGAGTTCTATGGTTTCTGCATATGGTATAGACTGCTGTTGTGTGATTGAACTGTACAAAAAAGAAGCAGCATGGAAGATTTTGGTCAATCTGTTATATCATATGTGTAAATATAGCAAAATAGTATAACTAAAATGTGATCATCTATGCAGTTTATATCATGCAGTTTGTATACCAAAAAAGAAGCAGCATGGAAGTTTGTTTTTTGGCTAAATTTCAGATCCCACCTTCAAATTCTTCTTTTCATTGTAATATTTGTTTTAGGCTCGTAAAATGTAGCCAGTGATGTTACTGAAAATAATTATTGATCAACTTTTTGGAATAAGTTTGTAGTCTTGACATTTACATGGAATGATCTATTGAGATGACCAACATGGAACTGTTTATATGCCTTTTGAACTAACGTGCAAACTCCTCAATGTGCAGGGAAGTGAATATTCACAGTTTGTGTAAACTGCATGTGTTGCAGGTTATTTATCTTAGATTCTAGTAGTGTAATCACAAAATGTCCCTACAAGTTCTCATACAACAGGTGTGATACCGAAACCGTACCGAATCGTACCGAACCAAACAAGAAAATACCGAACCGTATTGAACTACTTTGGTACGGTATTTGGTATGCATAATTGATATACCGAATACCGAAGTACCGAACCATAATTCATAAATATCGTACCGAATGTCCACCCCTACTTGTCGTGATCCAAAATCCCACTAAATCGTGATTGTACCTAACTTAACTCGTTAGGCAAGTCAAACATCATAGGCTATAACTATAATGAGAAATTATTAATATTAATAATAATGGCGACAACAAAATTCAATACAAATATCACAAGGACTGATAATACAATCCATGAGTCATTAAGATTAGATTCACAAAGCAGTTATGAAGAATGTTTGCAATATTTGTTTTAAGTTTACATAAACAGAAATATAGTCCTAAGCTATCATGAACAAAAGATAGCCCTGAAGTTGGTACGATGGTACGTCTCAAATGCATGGCTTCGTCTTCCACAACTACTCAGCTCCAGAATCTACATGTAAGGTGCAGAAATGTAGTATGAGTATAACCTACCTTATGTACTCAGTATGTATCTTGACTAACTTTGGAGAAGTAGTGACGGGGTTTTTAAGTCAAAAAATACTCACATTGCAAAACCTGTGCAACTCAATAACACATATAATACAGAGAAAATATTCTAAAAAGGCAATTACAGAAATAAGAATATCTATAGTAAAGGCGCACAACTACGATAGAAGGTAATAAACAAACTCTACCAATTAGACATGTTCAACAAATATAACTTGCACTTGTCACGCTCACAAAGGGGTATGTATCATATAATGTGTGTGCTCAATACTCATACATGACTGTAAATATGTGCCCAACATGATCCAATTTCGTATCAATTGCCAAATAACACGTTCAAGAGAACCTTTCAAGAAGTCAATATAAATACATGATGACAACTTACTTATCACGTCAATCCGATACGCTACCGACTACTCAACAAAACATGAGATATTAACTCCATATAGGTAAATTCATCTTGACAATCAAATATCAAATATAACAGGAGCATAGGATAGCATGTTAGTTGTAACAAAAGAAAACCTGTAAAATGCACGATAAAGCGTAAGAATTCACTTGCACAATCAAGAAAGTCACTCTCGTACCACCACATAAACATCAAGAGAATCATCCTCAAACCATCACATAACATCATCAATAATGTCGCCATTATTTTGCTGCATGTGCAATATCAATAAATATCACCCTTATTTTGCCACATGCGCATATCACCACCCTTATTTCGCCACACGGGCAAGCCCGAGACGCGTCGCGTTATTTTGCCCCATGCGTATAATAATAATAATTATAATTGCATGGCAAATATCTCGTGCCAATACCTAATGAATCCGCCCAAAATGTCTGCATGTGCCATAATCATCACAAAGTAATATGCCAAATTTTTATCAAAGATATAAGCCCATAATTTTATCAACAAGGTACACAAGGACATGAAAATAATAAAATGTGGATGAGTGTTCAACATATAAGGCATGACTACGGCTAAATCAACTGTAGCAACCAAGTTCAAGTGATCATACAAAGGATCATATATGTGCCACAAAGTCCACATGTCCCAAAACAAGGCACAACACAAGAACAAGTACAAATGTGTGTTCATAATATACATATATCTACCTTCGAGGCAAACATAGCATAAATCTCAAAACTTTCTCATCATGTTCAAGATAAGGTACCAATAGCCTCAACATTACTCTAGCACGACTTATTTTACTCACGTAATTAATCAATTGAGTAACACATAGAATCAGGTAGAACACACAACCAAACAAGGCATAGAGTAATCTAGAATCTACCCCGAGCATGAATACCCATGGCACATGTATATACGCTCATCACCTTG